CCTTAGCCTGCTAGGAGTCAGCTGCTGCCAAGCACTGGGTGCCTCTGTGGAGTTTTCTCTTGCGGACTTGTGGTTGGCTGTCGGAGAGGTATTGTGGGGTGTTGTGGAACTCTCTTACCTGCCTTCCCTGAAAGAGGTTTGTCCCACAGGCAGCTTGCCAGGGAGCTGAAAGTTAATAAGCGTTTCCCAGGCCAGGGACTTTGTGCGCCTGCCCATGGCATCAAAGCGTTCAGGTGACGGCAGCCACACCTGCTTCTCTCTGACAGGAGGGACAGTCCTCCCGAAGACTGGTGGCTGTGTGGGACAGCCTCTTAGGTGGAAATTTTATAATTAAAAATAAAGACAGTTGTTTCTCATTAATTTTCATATATAATCTTCCAGATGAAGTCCTAATTTAACTGTAAAAAATCATTGCTTGTCATTAGCAAACATAGTGGTCTTTACTATTTTATGGTTTACTAAATCATTATGATATCTTCACCATCCGCTTATTTATTTAGTCATTCATTCATTCATTCATTCATTCGCAGAGCATCTCCCTCACTGGCTCAGACTGTGCTGTGATCTCACGATGGCCTCAGACTTGCTGTGATCCTTCTGTCTTGGACTTCTTTGCACTGGGATTACAGGCATGCACACACACTCACCAGCATGCTTTTATATCTAAAGGAAAATATCTACCAGTGTAAACTTTGAATATTTACTAGTATATAGAATTCTTGCATTACTTTGGTCACGGAGTGAAATAGATTTAAATGGATGTTTTCTAATATATCACTAACCTTTCGTGAGCTTTTACGAAAATATGAAGGGAAAGAAGATTTGATAGCTTGGTTTTCCTGCCTTTAATGTGTGCAGTCACAGGCCGCAAATACTTTGATTGACATTTTCACAGTTTTATGGTTAGAATCTATAAATGAGCATACATAATCTGACATAGATAAGATTAAAACAACTATATTTTAAAATATTATCCCCAAACATGTTTAAAATGAAAATAGTGTGTATTATATGTACTTCAACGGGCTGTCATAACCAATCACATGTTGTGATACAGCAAAAACATTTCTTATTTGACGCTTCTCAATATGCTTCCTCATAAATACAGAATAGACTCCCAGGCCCCTGTTCCCTGTGTTCTTAACCCTAACTTTCGGGAAGCTTGTGCAGGAGAACATGCCTAAACTGCTGAAGCTTGCATGGTATTATTAACACAACAAAAGATATGCTTTATGGGGATTAAAATATATTTTCAACATTCTTTACTCAATTGGTAATGGTTTAAGAGTGCTATAATTTGCAGGTCTTTCTACGTACATTAATGCATAGATTTACTGTTGACTTCGCTCTGAATTGGGAATATTCTTTTATTGTGGAAAAGTAAGTCTGTTTCACTTTTCTCCTCCATTAGCTCCTCAGAGTTCACGGCACACATATGCAAAGTTGCAGAATTTTTCAGAAAATTCTGAAAACAGGACAGGTCTTTTGATCTCTAGCTGTAATCTTTCTATTGTGATTCTCTGTCAGTCCCCTGATGAATGAATCATGTTGTAGCTGAGTTCCATGGAGAACCGGTCCACTATTTTTGGGTGAAATTAGAAGCAACCACGTTTTCTACAAGTGTTGTAAACTGCAGGTGTGATATTAAACTGAAATAGGCAAATACAACTTTAGTAGAATTTGAAGCCACAGCAGCTGCATTGGGGCTGAGGTTTGCCTGACAACCCCTAACAGCTGCCCCTTAGCAACTGTAGACGAAACTTAAAAGAGTTCTCCAAACCCGTGTGAAATAGGAAATAAAACATATTCAAGGAAGCTGTCCACATCACTGCAGGCCGCCACGCCAGCTGGTTCGAGGTGAATGGTGATCTTTTCTAGGCTTCACTGCAATCGTAGAAATGGCAACTTTGAAAATCAAACTTGTGTTGAAATTAGAATACCATGCTGACAGAAAGCATGACATACTAGGGCCTGGGGCTTTCGCAGAAGAATGGAAAGTTTTTTCCTCAGTAGAAATGTCTTTGAAATTGGGCTTAGGAAAGGCCAGAGTAGAGGTGGAGAGAGATGTGAGGTGCAGTCAGTGTGCCCGTCAAGGTCTTGTGGTCCGCACAGGTATGATCAGGCATGATGTCATCAGCACATATTGTCGGAGTGGTGCAGAGCATGTCAGAGCGCATGAGGCTGGAGCACATGTCTCGCTGGCTTCCAGGGCGGTAGTGTCACAGGAGGTGTGAGTTTGTTCGGAGTAGAATCTTGACTGGAGATGTTGGGTCATCAGGAGTTGGCAGCCGTGAGGATTGTGAAGGATGGGTAGAGAAAAGCCAGACCCAGAACCCTCCAAGAAGGCTGAGTCAGTGGAGGAGGGTTCAGTTGAGACATTTTCTCATGCTGCCAGCTTCCTGGTCCTGCTCTTCCCCGTCTCCTCGCTCATCCTGCATGCTTTGCTTTGTCTCGTGCTGACCCTGCTGCTGCGGCTTGGCTGCTTTCTGAAGGGTAAGACGTACCGCCATGGGCCACCTTGGGCTGTCACTGTTGGTTTTTCTGACCTACACCCCCACTGAAGACACAGGATAGGCCTCTCACCTCCTCTGTTCAGTGGCTGGTGTTCTGAGGAAGGAGCTGTTAACAGTTACCGCAGTGATCAAATGGTCGGGAGAGAAGAATAGAGCCGGCCTGCACCTAGCCACAGCCCCTCCATTCTTGACATGAAAATCAGACTAAATCACTCCTCTCCTTGTGGGCTTTTGGCAGTTAGTCCCTAGCATGCCCACCATTTCTGGTTGACTGGAATTTCCGGTTGCCATATTTATGGTGACTTTTCCTTACCACTTCCCTGAGTTCATCTGCCAATATTTAGTCATCAAGGGTTGAAAAGCATGTTACTTATTTTTACTTTATGTGTCTGTGTGTTTGCCTCTGTGTGTGTGCGTGCGTGCGTGCTAGCATGTATGTGTGTGTGTGTGTGTGTGTGTGTGTGTGTGTGTGTATATATATATGTATGTATGTATGTATGTATATGCACAGTGTTCATGCTTGGTGCCTGTGTAGGCTAGAGGGATGTATGTATGTGTATGTACACTGTGCATGCCTGGTGCCTGTGGAGGTTAGAGGGGTATGTGTATATGTATGTTATGTACAATGTGCATGTCTGGTGCCTGTGTAGGTTAGAGAGTGCTGGATTCCTTGGGACGGGCATTGCAGGCAGTTGTTAACTGTCATGGTTACGAACTGAACCTGGATCCTGTGAAAGAGGAGCAAATGCCACTCACTGCCAAGCCACCTGTTTAGCCCCAGTTAGCCACCAACTTTTAAAAGATAATTTATGAGTTAATTCTAATAAAGAATTTTCTAGATGTATACATCAAGGTTTATGTGAATAAATGTAGGTCTGTTTATTTTCATGAGTCATGCTATTAGATAAATCAAAGGCTATCTTATGCTTGCTATATTTTATGGTAGACTTCCATAAGGGAAGAGAACTATGTCCTGGCCCAAGCTAAGGACAATAGTGTGCAAGCCTCTTATCATATTGCTTTGTTTCATTTTTGCGGTAATGGTAGCTTGTGTATTTAAATAATGCCTGGGAAGGTCGAGCAATGACTCAGGTGCTTGCTGCACAAGCATGAGGTCCCGAGTTTGCATCCCCATAAACAATGTAAACAAAAAGCTGGGCATGATGGCATTTGTGACTGTGACCCCAGCACTGAGGGAGAAGGGGAGATGGGTAACTTCCAAGGGCTCCTTGGCATGTCAGTATAGCTGAAAGTGAGCCAGAAGTTCAGAGCAAGATAGAGGGAGAGGGAAGGAAAGAAGGAGGGCAGGAGGGAGGGAGAAAAATGAAAAAGGGGAAGATTATCTCAAAAATATGACAGAGGGGTGTATAAAAAGACAACTAGAGTTGATCTCTGGCCTCTACACACATGCTTACTTCAAACACATGAATATATCCTCTGCACGCACGGGCACGCACACACACATACACACACACACACACACACACACTCGGTGGGAGGGAAAAGAATAATAATAGTAAAAAGGTGCATAGAGTATTTAATGTATTTACAGTTATTATGAAGAGTATTATAGCCCTTTTAACTCCTCATACAATACAAATTAAACTGAGAATAGATTTTTTTTAAGGTGTTCTTGTTGAGTATTTTTTGTATTCAGTTATTGACCTAAAAACGTTGACTTCCCTCTTTCATCTTGGACTTTTTCCTATCTTCACAGAAAATTATGATCATTTTTTGCAGTTCAAAAGTTAAAGCCTGTTGCTACAATTTAGTCTTTGAAAGAAGCATTCTATACTACATTGCCTTTGGTACTTCTATGCTAAATTGAAAACTTATTGTGCAAATACCCATGTAAAGACATTTCTTGTCATAACCATGTCAGAATGAACAATATTTGTCAATCATGTATCCAGTATCATGATTGGCTGGCATTTCCTTGATATCTGAGTTAATCTTGACAGCAATCTTGTGATGTCAGTAACAGAAAAGCCCAGAGAGTTTTAAATCTTTTGCCCAAAATAACAAAACTTCAAGGACCCAAAGAAGAATAAAATGTATTGTATTTTTCTTGTTTTCAACATTTTGATAGCTCATTGACATTATCTCCTAATCATAATATTGGAAAAGAATAAAAAGAAAAGACGTGCCTGAGAGCATGTATCTAGAAGCTCATGCCTCTTTTCTGTATGTCTATTTGACTAGAGATTGGTTTGCGTGACAGCGTGGGAGATGCACGTTCCTGGCCACTGCCAGCCTTCTCTGCAGCCTTCCCATGCCGTCCCCATTCGGTTTCCCTAGCCTGGCCTTTGCTGGCATCTCCGAGGTCCAATTTAGCGCTAATGTCTCCAGTTTCCTAGTTTGTATAGACTTGGGGGAAATATTTCACATGCATAGGATCAATTTCCTTGACTTAGAAAACCCACGTAGGTCGTTAATTTGTGAGGTCTGTGTTTTTACAAAGATGCCCTTTTCTTTCATTCTGAATAGAGAGATGAAAACTACAGGAGTCTCCCGCGGGACCCCAGTAGCTGGTCCAACCAGTTCCAGAGAGACAACGCCCGCTCCTCACTAAGTGCCAGCCACCCAATGGTAGACCGCTGGCTGGAGAAGCAAGAACAGGTAAAGTACCGTGTCCTTGCCCTGCGTCATCGTCTGACAGCCAGCACTTGGCTAAATGTGCTAGATGACATTTTTTTTTATTGCAGTATGTGGAGAAAAATGGTAGCCTAGGTCTCTGAAAGGGAATGATTTAATCCCAGAGATACATCTTTGGTCTTACAAATAGCATCATTTTTCTTTGTGATTGTGGTATAAAAACAGTTTGTGTTGATTCAAAGGTATTAAATTGAAAAGCTACACACCTTCTCACTTCTCCTTAAAGACTGGACCTCTATTTGCCTTTCTTGAGGCTTTGAAATACTTGACAGGCAGGATATGAGGAAACTGGGTACCCTTCAGTCTTGAGCTTAAAGCGTCTTCCTCCAGAGGCTTGAGAAATGCTGATCCGCTCACTCAGTCTGGCACCAACATGACTCCACCTGGAAGAAGACACCGACACAGTCTCATCAGCAGGATAATTAGTGACACCCAACTCCATCTAATGGGCTGAGAGCCGCACAAAGAAAATAAACAAGTCAGACTATGATTTTGGCCAGAAGCAAGCACTGTTGTTCCGGCAGGAGAGAAGGAACAGATTCTTTTTCCATTCTATCATTCCTTCCAGCTGTCCTCCTCCCTTTGCGATTTGCTTAGTTAAATGTTCTCCATGGACCCTCTTGGTTCAATGCCTAATATACCTTCAGAAGCTTCCTCTTCTCTTTATTTTGGTATTGAAAATACAATGAGGAGAATTGCGTTCTGTGGGTCTAATAATGTATGGTTGAAAAACAAAGTCAAACTAGTCTTCTGTTGTTGACCAAGATTTCTGTCCCACCTGGTCCTCAGCCGTTCCGTTCCAAAGAAACACACAGATGTCTACATCAGTCATGAACCGATTGACCTATTAGCTCAGGCTTGTCATTAACTAATTCTTACATCTTAAATTGGCCCATTATTCTTGTCTATGTTAGCCACATGGCTTGGTACCTTATATCAGTGGGGCGTTCTCATCTTGCTTCCTCTTGGCCTGGGTAAAGACTATAGACTGAGCCTTTCCTCTTCCCAGAATTCTCCTGTTCTCATTGCCCCACCTCTACTTCCTGCCTGGCTATTGGCCAATCAGGGTTTTATTAAAATACAAGTGACAGATCTTTACAAGTACAAGACCATTGTCCCACAGCTTTCTGCTTTGGCAGTTTGGGGTCACAATGATAGAACTGATGGTTGTCTTCCTGTAGAGATGCGATTTGAACTGAGGCAGTCTGGAGAGTTCTAGATCTTATGTCTGTCTTTGCTTCATTTCTAACTAAAGAGCTTGTTGCTGGTTCTCTCTCTCTCTCTCTCTCTCTCTCTCTCTCTCTCTCTCTCTCTCTCTGTCTGTCTGTCTCCCTCTCCCACTCCCCCAATTGTGACCACAGCAGCTTTGCCAATGACAATAAACACCAGGCATGCGCAGGACAGATGCCTGCCTTAATGCCGGCTGGCAGACCCGTCAGAAGGGTCCTGTTCTTCGTGGGGGACTAATCTACATAATGGAACATGGGGACATCTTTCCCTCTCTGGGGGTGTTGGTGGACTTTACTTCCACAGTATTGCAGAGGTGGCCCTGCACTAGGGCCCAAACTAGCCTTGATCTCTGGATGCAGGATCTGACTTTACAGCAATGGGCTCACCTTACTCAGAAGTCAGTCCCAGACCTAAATGCAGCACTCAGGGGGTAGAGGACTGTCTGTCCCTCAGAGAGTGTCTCTTTTCATGTTAATCTGGGAATCTCTTTCTTTTGAGCCTTCTCAGAGGAAGCAGGAGGTACACAAAAGGACTTGGTTTGTTAGGCTGCTTTGAGTTTTCCTGCTTTGGACATTTTTACTCTGAGAAACCAGGAAACAGAGCAAGAAACTCTTAGTTTTGATGTCAGAAAGTGTTTTAAGAAGTTTGAAATCTTCTCAACCGTATCATTTTTCTGACTGTGCATAGAATTTTATTTTAATATTGGTAGGTAATGGCTGACTTTGGTTCCTGTTTCTTTAGGCTTTATTGTGACTGATGAAATCTATATACGAGTTGGCACAGACCTTCGAAAGCCCTTGACTGCAAGAAGTTAGGACTAGGAAGTGAGGGACAGGAAGGGGACGCAAGCTAATTGGGAGCCTGCCATTTTCTCTCCTTGTCTGGAACAAGCCTGAACCCAATTAGCAGAGGCGGAGACCAGAACTACACGGCAGCTGGAGCTGCCGTTTCCGGTCTGTGCTGGGAGTGACTGCCCTGACCTTTGGAGAAAAACCTATGTTTAGGGTTCTTTGCATTGAGGGCAACTTCACCTAATTGGCAGAACGTGCTGAAGAGTAAAAACTTACCTAAATGTTTGATGAGGATGCAATCTGATTAGCTTAGTCCCTCTCCAGCCCCAAAGAAATCCCACAACCTGATGGAATGCCTACTTTCTCCATGCCAGGAGTTTGGGAAGTGACAAAGCTATGCTCCGTGCATGTGTGTGCATGTGCACATGCGTGTTTTAACGGTGTCTTGCGCTGGCAGGCTGTGGCTCCTTTTCATACACAGTTAGCCACAGTTGCTTTTGTTAGCGAATCACCTCACCTCTCTTCCCAAGTTCTTGTTGAATTTACATCTTCTCCGAATTAAAAATAAAAAAAGACAAAAGAAAGTCTGATTTTACTTAGTCCTACCACTGTGCAGATGACATAAAGAAAAATAAGTTCCCAGCATATGACATGATCTTTATCTTATAATTGCAAAATTAGGAAATGGCTCCCTCAGAAATCTGATTACAGCAGCTGTGGACTGGCTAGCGTGCTGACTCAGGGGTCATAATATCCAAACATGGGAGCATTGTGGAAGCTCTGAGTGGGAACAGCCAGGGCTCTGCTGTGACCGCCATTCCTGGGAACCGAGGCTCAGTTCTGGTGCTGCCAAATGTTTATGGAAAAAAATGCAAGTCCTCAACCACTAAGTCCTCAAATTGTACTGTTTTCTATTAAAACAAAACAGATTTATTAATATTGTTTCCCATTTGGCAAAGATTTGCAAAATTTGTGCAGAAGCAAAACACGTAATTGTTTTTTCTTCTAGCAGCACCGAGCATAGCAAGTTAAAACCATCGAGACAGTTTTAAAATTAAATTTGGTTATTATTATCAAACGCTAGATACTTTGTTACTGCAGAAATCTATCCTGTTAAAATAAGACCAGCATTTAGGAGCGCTGTCTCCCACCCTGCTGCTGCTCTATTGCAAATTACTTTGTCGTACGTTGCTAACAAATGAGTGCTATTATGAGTCAATTTTAAAATTATTTGTTTTAGAATGCAGTGATTGGTAGTCTCCGTGTCTAGGTATCATGCACTATTTCCCATGTTTCCTACATATTTTCTGTTTTTACCACCAGAGTCCTGTGGAGAGCAGGAATAGAGAAGGGCCCTGATGGAGGGCCCTGTTCTATGCTCCGCTTAGGACACCCTGCTTTCCTGGGGAAGCTTTGCTGGTCACAGGCATGGCACTTTGTTTCTCCCGAGAAGGAAAAGGAACACTTTTACGTTTTCCTGTACTTAGCAACAAAACCCACAGTGAATCTGTGACCTATGCGTCAGACTTGGAAGCCTGCACTTCAGGCAAGCAGGCGTGTTTTGGGACTGTCAGCCTGATTGCTGTGTAGGAGGTTCCACCTGTATCTGTGTAGACGGGGACTGAGACTGTTAGCTTTGGGCATTGTGCATGAAAGTCGGGTGACATCACACGAGTTTAGTGCTGACTTGGGTCTGTGCTGCTGCACTCATGTGAGGCTGTCCCCCCCCACCCCGCGATGGAAAGTCCAAGTGTACAGTAATTGATCAATCCCAGAGGTTGGATGTATCCATTGGTCTTCAGTATCCAAAGAAATTCCGGAGAAGTAGGCTCTAATGCTAGTGAAGGAATGGATTTTCCAGCGAGATTGAGGGCAAGCAGGCAAAGGAGTAACATCTTCCTCCATGTCCTTCATGTAGGCTGCTGATAGATGGTGTGGCTCAGATTTAAGGCGGGTCTTCCCACCTCAAAGGTTCTGGATTTCAGATGAGTTTTCCCGCCTTGAACGATACGATCTAGAATAACCCCTCAGCGGTATACCCAGCAGCTTGGGTTTTAGTTCCAGTGTGTCAAGCTGACAACCAAACACAACCATCACAACATATATGTTTTATTCAAGAGTTGTGCATTTACACCGTTGATACTTCCTGACAGCAATGCTTGTCATACAGCATCTGCCTGTGGCAGAGAAGACTGAAAAAATATTACAGGGACAAGGCCGGAAGGTTGAAGGGAGATGGGAAGCCCGTCTAGGGAAAGCCATGTTCTCGCTGTGAAGATGGCTTGACAGGGGCACTGCCTTTCCTATCTCACGTTGGCCTGGCTACTTCCGTGGGGACTGCCTCCTAATTGAACTCGGATGTGAGTGCTAAGCAACGTGCACCATCAGCTGCTCCTGCTGGACTCTGTGTGCCCTAATGAGGTCTGCTGATTGAGGACTGGTCCTGGCTGCTCCTGGGAGAGCCCCTAGTCCTGTCTGAGCCCTGCTGAGCCGCTGTGACCCAGTTAAGTGAGGTTCTTAGAGGACACAAGAAAAAAATAAGTCCAAAGATGCTGTTAGGAGCCGAGGCACCTGTCAATTCTATTAGTGTTAAAATTTTACTTAAAGAGTAGAATGCTTAATTATCGAGTAAATATTAAATTATTTTTAATGTTTACTATTAACGTGACACAAATTTCCTGCTTAATTTGAAAGCAGTATTTGAACAAAATATTTGATTATATTGGATAATTTATAAACATTAGAGTTGGATTTAACAATTAATACTCTGTATACTGAAAACATTGTAAATTTTGTCTGAGAGCTTTATCTTTTATAGTTCAGGGGTTTCTTCGTTTTCATTAGACTGAATGCATTACTCTATCCATCTATGGCTGCAAGCTAGCAAAATTTATCTTTAGAGGTGTTTTCTTTCCCCTCTTACTGTAGGGACAGTATATTTTT